GTCACATGCTAGAGATAATATTCAGACAGCATGCTTGTGAGAGAATAATTCTTGCCATCATTTTTGCTGTCCTGTTGAAAATTTGGAGTTACTTAAAATGAAATGAATATAGCTTTTACATTATGCTTCCACTGCCAGTTCTTACACTGAAATAATGTTGTCTACATGTATAAATCAATATCAAGAGTAACAGTAATTAAGTTAAAAATAAAGAGGGGGAATGATAGAGAGACCGAGGCAAAGAACAAGTAATACACATACCCTTCAATAGGAAACTAGGTAAGTAAATTTTTATAGTGTAGGTAAACCCTAATATAGAGCAATATTAAGTAGAGATGGGTATATACACCATCTTATTAATATAGGAACTAACAAAATCATGTGTGTTGTTTCCAGTCATATACAAAGCCACACACAATTCATATATGTAGGACAGTTCTGCTCCTGATTCATTGGTTCACTGAGTTCACTAAATGAAATCATTTCTTTGATCTCACATGGCTGGCCTGTCTTTGTATCCTCAGAGACACTCTCACAAGGTTATTTTCCTATACACATTACCTAGCACAAACAGACTACGTGATTTAACCATTCATGGTGAGAATCTGTTTTAGTTTTATTGTTTGTCTTTGTACATACCTTCCAGTAATTCCATTTTCCCATCTCACTTTTCCTCTCATGTGGTACTTGGTTTCCTGTGCATCCTTTATGTATCCCCTCTTCCTTCTCCTCCCCATCTTCCTTCTCTGTCCTCTTGTGAACATACCAGTTTCCCTTACCCACTCCCTTCTTCCTCCAGTGTTGCACATCTTCTCTTTCTTACCTGTCAGATGAAAATGACAAACTGCAAAGAGCTAAAGACTTCAAAGTGCCCATAGTTCACTAGAGTATAGGCATAATGGCAAGTTAAAAATTATTGTAACAGACCTTCAATACCCATTTAATTACAGAGGTTAGGTACCTAGTAAGGGACTGGCGGGGGGGGGGGAGGATCTCGCAAAAAGGTAAATAAAATATCCTGTTATTACCAGGGAGCCTGCATGGAACCAATGTAAGCCCTCTACATATATGCAACAGTTGTGGAGCTCCCAACAATGGGAGCAGGTACTGTTTCTAACACTTACCTGACTCGTTAGGAAACTCTTTCTCATACTGTATTGCCTTGCCCAGCCTAAATGATAGGGGAGGTGATTAGTCTTTCTGCAACTTGATATGCCATGCTTTGCTGATATCTGTGAGATGCCCAGCCCTTTGTGAACAGAACAGAGGAGAAGTGGATTGAGGGGCTGGGGGAAAGGAATGGAAGGAGAGGAGGGAGGGAAAACTTCAGTTAGGCTGTAAAATATTTAAATTTTCAAAAAAGAATATGTTACTGTTGAGATATAGGGGGGAAAAGTTCAAGAATTACATGGGAAGGGGGATGGAAGATAGGTGTAATGGAGGGAATATGAGGAGGGACAACTAACACTAAGGACCATATGAAGACCAGTTATTGTGTAAGAGCCTAAGTTATATACACATATGAAAGGAATCTAAATGGAGTCACTAGTAATAGGGGAGAGAAGGTTCAAACTAGATCTCTTGTAACACCAAGTAAAACCTCTGGTGCCAGGAGTGGTTTATATTTTGCTTAGTCATTAGCCAAAAGGCCCCATTGTACGTGTTCCCCCACATTACAGACTGTCCCCAAAGCAATATATTGCTTGTTCACCACAAACTAATAGGAAGGCCCTATTAGTAGTCAATGCATATCTCATCACACACAGAGAAGTTGAGCTGGCACATAACATAATGCTTCACTCCTACTGACAAACATCTATGGCGCTGAAAGTGAGACACTCTGCACATTGTTGAAGGAGAAAGGCAATCATCAACCCAGATGCAGGCCAATCCTGCAACCTACAACCCACCTGCAAGATATGTTAAGCAGTAGTGGTACAAACATTGTGGGACTAACCAACTACTGTCTGGTTGGATTTAAGGCCTGATCCATGAATTGGAACTCTTTCCAGACACTGCAAGAGTAGCCAAAAACCTGAGAATGGACAAGACATAGGTCTTGGGGAAAACCAAATACTATTGTTCTGAAACTAAAGCAATAGCAATAAAATGACACCTAACAACATCCTGCTGTATTCATAGATCAATGTCTTGCTAACCCATCATCAGAGAAGCTAAGTCTTATACTAGATAGGAACTAACACAAAGACCTACATGTTGTGTGATATTCTGATTGTGTTCTGACAAATAAAACTTGTTTGGAGTCAGAGGGTGAAGCTAGCCATTAGCTAATCAAAATTAACCATAGAAGTCTTACAGACCACTCTAGCCAGGAGTTGAGATAAGCTCTGTACTTTTCCATTATACAGAGACTGAGCAAAAAATGACACAGCTACCTCTCCTAGGACTTGACAATTATACCAAATTTTCAGGATCCCCTAAAGATGTCATCCTCCCCAGACAACAGGAAGTAATTTAAAAACATGATGCCCATATTCCCAAGAGGTTGGATGGGAGGTTTTTGCTCATTCAATGGGTTATGGATATTGTCATTGTTTAAGGGGCTTGGTTACAAGTTGTTATTGGCAGTGGTCAGGAAAAAAGCTTAACAAAGGAGATTAGATTCAGAGATCTTGCTATAAAAAGAAAAGGGGGGATACGGAAATGATAGGGTAAAAGAGTAGATTATTGAATCTATCCTTTAAATAAAAAAGCAACTATTAGTCCTTTGGTATGGATTTTTGTATATTGATACAAATTTAAAGATATTTTTGTTAGAACCAACTGTACTTACATTTCTACTCTTGTCAAGTTATTGCACCTATATAGCTCATTTAACAATATGATGTGAATTTCTAGTCCTTAAAAGTTATCATTACAAACTATGTAGGATAATAAAGAAATTCAGCTTAATAATTAGTCACCTATTACAATCAAATTTGTAGTCATGTTAAGTATGTTTTTAAGTTCAAAATGAGATATATTTTAGAAAGACAGGTGATCTTCAAACACTTCAGTGATCTACAGATTACAATACTTAAGATGTTTAATAACAAAAGGTCTTTATGACTGAGATATGTCTACTTCAAAGAAGATGATGGGAGCTGGGCGTTGGTGGCACACGCCTTTAATCCCAGCACTCGAGAGGCAGAGGCAGGCGGATCTCTGTGAGTTCGAGGCCAGCCTAGTCTACAAAGTGAGTTCCAGGACAGCCTCCAAAGCCACAGAGAAACCCTGTCTTGAAAAACAAAAACAAAAAAACAAACAAACAAAAAAAAAACAAAGAAGATGATGGGTATTGAAGAAACTCCACATGAAGTTTACTTTCTTTGTGGCAAAAGTTAGCCACTGGTCAAGAAACTGCCTTTGCCTAGACTACTGACAGTATGCTGTCCAAATTGGACAAGCAGGACACAAAAGAAATTGACTGCTGAACTTTGCTAAGAAAAAAATGGGGTAGTCCTTCAAGAATCCTACTTCACAGAAAAGTCTGTCAGATATTCTAGGCCAGCAAGCCAAAGATGGATGTCCCAGCATTACAAAGAAATCTTGACTGATTCTTCAGGCAGCCAGCTATTTCTGTCATTTCATACTTTTGGAAGATGTTTAGTCTACACTTCCTGTTTACTCAGGTAATATTATATCCTTCTTGGGTCTCCAATGGATTTTGAAAACTAGATATCATTACAGTTTTCCTTGTTACCAAATTCAGAAAAGAAACCTATAAAAGAGGTATAACCTAGTGTATAAGGTTGAGAGATGTAAAAAGATAGCTTGAGATTAGTAATACAAGACAATATAGAAAGTGAATTAGGTACAACACTTTGGACTCACTAAAATAAGATAGATAATGGAGTATTTCCTCTGAATTTGTCAATGCAAATGAACTGGAAATTGATAATGCAATTCTTGCCTGTATTTGTATATAGTTATGGTACTTATTTTATATAGTTTTACTATGTTAGTTAAAACCTTCACTTTTTATTTAGACAAAAAGGGGGGGAATGTTGTTTGATATTTTAATTGTACTTTGACAAAAAAAACTTGCTTTTAGTCAGAGGGTGGAGCTAGTCACTAGCTGACCCAAATTGTCCATAGAGGTTTGGGGGGTCTATACACAGAGAGGAGATAGGAAGTAGTAAGGTAGGGATGAGAAAAGATCTGGGTCCTTTTGGAGAAAGAAACAGAAGAGGGAGGAGATGACCAGTGGCTGCTCCCCTGTTTCTCTGATCTTTCAGGTTCTTACCCCAATATTTGACTATTGATTTTTTATAGATGAAGAATAATTAGGCAAATGCTTTAACCACAACTGGACAGTGCAGTGAGTGTCTTTGGAGCACTCAGTCCTAAAAGGGACATCGTCATCAAACCTGTCCCCACAAGTCCCAGCAAGCTGTGTGGATGAGGAAGCAGAAAGATTGGAGGAGACAAATGCGAATGGATGACCCCTAGGAAATAGTGGCTTCCGGGTGCAACAGGACTGATATACACATGAACTCACAGAGACTGCAGCCCCACATATAGGTACTGCACAAGTTCAAGCCAGGTGGGGTTCCAACACTAAGAAGGGAAAGTGGACATTGGCTTCTACCCATAATCAAGAAGCTAAATGTAAATGATACCTGCTGGCAAAGGAAATCTTAGTTTTCCCCAGCACAGCCTCACTGAGTATATTAACCACACTTAGGGGTAGGTACCATGCCCAGGAGTAGTTGCCATCACAAAATGAACACAGTGGTATTTTCATTGAAAAAAAAATTCTGATAAAATATTCAGCGTAATTTGATAGAAATTTCCCATTAACCAAAACCTGGCTAAAAGGCAGGAGCCTTCAAAATACCTTTTTTAAAAGTTAAGCATTTTAGTTAAGCAATGGGGACAACTAGACCCTGTCATCCTTGCTATCCAGGCCACAGCCATGTCCAGCAACTGTGAAAACAATATGTGGTTCTGACCACTGCCAGAAGCCAGAATATTCAAGCAGCTAAGCAATCCTCTGTGGCTCTCGGGGGCCTGGGTTTCAACTTCCCCACTACCCTGAGGTAGCAGGTGGTGATGTGAGGCCTCTATTTGTTCTGAGCAGGGGATCTTAAACACCGCATAACCATCAAGGACAATGCCAGGGATAAATTTCAATGAACATTGACCTTATAGGCGATTTTTAATGAAATGGATTTTATCAGACTCTTTTTCCATGATGACTCATTCTAAACCAGAGGAAATTAACTGATCAAGGAAGGCAAAAAGCTGTTATGCATTCACTCTGAATTTCTCTTAGAAAAACAAGAGCGAATTATGCAATCACAGGCTATGGGTCGCACCCAGCCCTGGGGATGCACAATGAGAAGGTGAAGAATCAGGTTGTGCTCATTGTGAAGGAAAGCGTGGGCTTGTTAGAAAACAGAACCACCACTAGACGTTCTTTATACTGTATTTGGGATGCTGGACCAGATCAAAATGCTGTCACTGTGTACAGACTCCTGTCTATCTGTAAGCCTTTCTAGTCTAGTCAATATGAAAATAAACTTTCTTGCTTGGAAAAATAACTAGAAATTGAAAGATGAGACAGGTTGAAGTTTTTGTGAGAATGACTAAGACCACAAAATAGGAACGGGATGATTTGGGAGGCGCCATAAGGAAGTGGTTAAAAGAATTACAATCACAGCAAGAGAAAAACCAACTTCAGATGGACTTCCTACCTTGGCCTTTAATAGCCAGACAGCTTATGATACTTATTTTATTTCTGAGTATTCCTTCTCAGCAAAGTTATATGTATATACATACATATATATATGGATGTGAATATATGGTGTGTGTATGTGTGTTTGTAAACATATGTTTACAAAAATATTTCAGTAACATAGTACACTTCTGAAAAAACTGACGTATATATTTGGTATGTATTTCAGTAGAGTTATGTCAAAAGCTATGGTCAACTTAATCTATGATACATTGTTAGGTACAATTAAACAATAAAATATGAATATGCTTGTTCTAACAACTTTGTTTTTCCTAGGGGTAAGTAATCATGTCTCCTAAACTATTTGTTATCTAAAAGCCAGGTATAAAGTTTATACTAGAAACTGCCCCCTTGTGGACCTGGATAAGGAGAATTCCTCCTCCAGAACTGACTTCTATTTTTCATCGCACACTCTTTAGTATCTTATTATTATTATACACTCAGAGATATAATGGCTTTAAATAAGAATCAGAGTCCACTTTACCAAACACCCTGAAGCATGGTTTGGAACTGAGTCCTGAGTAGAACATGCAAAGATGTTGAGGTCTGTGCTAGGCAAAGTTCAGTTTGCCTTGAAGAGAACATAGGTAGAAATGTGGACATTAGGGACTCCGCTGAAGGCCCAAGAAGAAAATAAGAACTGTAGAGAAACCTCTGTAGTATCAAAGAATATATTATTAATCATTAACAGATTAGGTAGAAATATGAATAAAAAGCACCATCCTGGTGAGTCTCAGACAGACATGAGAAACACAAAACAGAAGGAGAATGTTGAGAATAAACAACGCAGAAAAAATGTCAAGAAGCTCTGCTGAACTGTGCCCATCTCCCGGTGTCTGGTAGTAGGCAGAACCAAAACAGGACACGGGTCTAAGGAGAGTTCTAAGAAAGGCATTGAAACAGCAGCCTAGGTTATTCTTGCAATATATAGTAAAACATGAGAATAAAGAGATAAATTAAAGGTGTTATTAAGAAAAACAAGAATCAGAATTTGTTGACTTTGCAAACTCTCTGCCTACTTGTACTGCCAGGAATAAGGAAAGTTATTCAGAGAAAAGACTAGGTTGTATAGCTGAATGACCATCTGATGGGTACTTTGATACATGTATTAGTCAGGGTACTCTACAGGAACAGAACTGATAAAATATATATGATTATATAATATATATTTCTATATGAATATATATATGTTCTATGGAATATATATGTATGAATCATATAGAACAAATTATAGGCTGTGGTTCAACCAGGAATCCAGTAGTTTTACAGTCCACAAGTGTAGGCGTCTCAGCTGGTTTTCAATACACACTGAAATCAAGAAGAAGTTCTAATACCAGTGAAGGGATGAATTTCTCAGAGAGAGTGAAGCAAGCATGCAAAGAGGGAGATCAAGCTTCCGTTTGTTATATCCTTTATATAAACTGCCTGCAGAAGTTGTGGCCCAGGTTAAAGGTGGGTCTCACACGTCAAAGATGTGGAATAAAAGTGGGTCTTCCTACTTCATATGATTTAATTTTTAAAAAAAACCTCACAGATATACCCAGCCACTTGGATTTAGTTCATTCCAGATGTAGTCAAGTTGACAACCAAGAATAGTCATCAACTAGGCATGTGAACCACAAGTTTAATCAAGCAAGTTCCTCAGGAGAAGCCCTGAAGAGAGACTGGATTATGCCCCATTGCCAGGTGGAATGGAATTAGACAGATTAAATTCAGAGAATGAAAAAATGTTGTCATATTACTGGAATTCACAAGACAGAATGAGCTGTCCTGATGTGAACAGTTATTGTCCTTCCAAACTGTGAATGACCAATTAAATGGTGGTTCCGAGAGCCTCAGAGCCACATGCTGCCCCAGACCCAGCAGCTCTAGTTCTACCTCCTCTATTTCAAACCACAGAGTCTTTACAATTTGTGTATGCCACCATGCAGTACGTTGAGGGCAAGGGGAAAGACTGCCCTGCCAATCAATTTGGGTAACACAACCACCCAGCAAGTTCAGTGTATATAGCAGCAAGGCAGAGAGAAAGATTTGACCTCTACAACCTGCTTGGATCCTTCCCTAACTTTGTACTTGCCTGGAGCTGTCACTCCTTCCTTTTTCTAATGTCTCCTTCTGGTACTTCATATGCCATCACATGACTGTTTGGGAAGCACATAATGTGCCTGGTTTCATAGATTTACACCAACAATGAAATGTGTCTTTGAACTAAATTGTACCTAGAATTTCAACTCCTCTTAAAATGGGTAAGATTTTCAGTTTGAGAAATGATGCTAGAAGGAGTTAAGACTTTGGGGCTGTTAGATCACAACTAATGTGTTTTATGTTCAAATAGAAATACACATTTTAGCAGGCTAGGAACATGGAATATGTGGTCTCTACTAGTATTGCCAGTAAGAGTCCTTCTAGAGTGATTTACCTGGAAACAAAAGTGGTAATTGACTATAAAAACAGTAATATTTGTTGCTCATCCCCAGACACACCCTATTTCACCATAGCAACCATCTTAAAGAAGAAGGAAAAAGGAACAGGGGCTGTTAAATGATTCACTTCATTGAAGGAAATAGGGCAAACAAAATGCTGAGGGGTGCCTACCTCAGCTATGGACAAACTATAATGATCATGATTGGGAATGAGACACTGAAGTCCATTGCAACCCATGTAAGTACAATCTGTGATGTCTACATGATAGTGAAATGACCTAACAATGCTTTCCCAGAACACATCCTATCCTTACATGTGGAAGAAATTCAGGTAATTCAGGTAAAGTGAGGTGACAGGGATAGACTCCAGGTTCTGTAGGTTAGTGTACATATATAAGAAAACTCCAGAGTGCATTCTTTTTCTGAATGTGTACACCATAAGGAAAGGCAATGTTAGATGGCAGCCAGCCAGCCAGTGACACAGAAACACCTGTGTCCTTAAGCCCAGCTGGCTCAGGAAAGGGAGATATGGCCAAGCATTAATCATGCTGGGCCTTCTTCCAAACTCCAAAACAATGAGAAAATAAGCTATTGTCATTTCAGCCAGCCTGTCTATAGGACTTTTTTGGTTATGATTTAATAATCTCATCATAATATGGGCTTACATTGAAAAATAAATGCCAATTCATTCATATGAGGGCTACATTTGCAGGAACAATTATGTTTTATCATTTCATAAAGTGATTGACAGAGCAAATTTTTGTGGCCATCTCTAAAGACTACTATAACACCTCCCTATTTCTTTGGAGTCTATATCATTCTCATGCTTATATGCCTTCAGGATATGGTAGAATACATGTTCTAGCCACTTACTAAGAAAATATGAAAGCAAAAAAAAAAAAAGAAGAAAACATGAAAGCTAAAGTTTTGGATAGGCATATACCTGGCTATACCTTAATCAATTCTAATACAATGCTAGCATTAACATCAAGGTTGTGTCTAAGATTCTAATTAGGAAGTCATTGCACTTCATAATGCTAATAGCACTCCTCTGTATTTTCAGTACATGTTTCCATGGGATCAATTCTTCATAGACAGTCAATTCCTATACTCTTCCAAAGCTAGGGTGAGGACTCCCCCAGGTTCTTCAAAGTAGGGAAAGTGTACCAGAGGTAATAAATACCCATCACACAGCATCCAAAAGGAAAATTCCATCACTTCAGTCTCTACTTTGCATCCCTACTTTTGCAAGAGTTCATTTCTTCCAATGCCTGAATGCTAAGCTATAAAAATGAATCACCTTGATGCTGAGTCTCCCAGACTGCGAACTAAAATGGATTGTTCTTTCATCCTATATTCCCCAAATCCTGTCTTCCCATTCCTCCTCTTTGACCTTGTGAGTCGAGGCCCTTTTGATATCAATTTTCCATCACTGTACTCATCTTTTGGGAATCAGCTAGCCAATCTATGGTTCAGGGTCCATTTACTGGGTATGTGTCCATACTAAGTTATCACCTTCCTATGACTTATCTTATTTCTAAAATGGAGATAATGATAGCATTAAACTATATACAGGCATTTTGAAGACTGCCTAGGTAATACCAAGGTCTTTAAAATGAAATTACATAACCATAGCCATTATGTCACAAGCATGGGTAAAACCTATCATACTAAATTGTTAAAGAAAATCTGTAGGAAGTGGTTTTATTTTTTAAGAACCAAGGTCCCTTATATTTGTCAGGAAGAAGAGGATTTTTATGGTATTTTCTAACTTATTGGGTGGGTTGGGGAAACTTTAAACAGAGGAACAAATAAAAAAATCCAGGTCATCTGTATATTATCTGCACCTAAAGACCAGAAAATTTTTTACTTTCAGTGTGGATGGAAGCATTGATGTATCTAGCCACCAAGAATTAGCAAGCTATCCATGGCTGCTAGATTAGCATGCATTTAATGTCACTATTCAATGCGATTGAGA